AGAGAGAGAGAAAAAGAGAAGTATAACCCTGTGAGAAGGAAATAATTTTAGCCACTTTTATTTCACTTATGTTTTCCTTTTTAAAGTATGTGTAAGAGTTATATAACAGACCAGGCACAGTGGCTCATACCTGTAATCTCAGCACTTTGGGAGACCAAGGCAGGGGAATCACTTGAGCTCAGGCGTTTGAGACCAGCCTAGGCAACTTAGCAAAAACCCCGTCTCTATTAAAAAAAAGTTACCAATACATAATAAAACCTATGTTTAAGCCTAAAGATTTTCCATAATAACAAAATATAAATTCTAAAGTGGCAAAATAGCATTATATCAGTCTAATTTATAAATTTTTTTTGGTAGAACATGAAATAGGAAGCCTTAAAGTTGACAATACCTTAGAGTCAACAGAATGCAGTGTTCAACAGAAGCAGCATTCACTTACTGATGTTCAAGATGGGGTAATATTCTGAGCCCTGCAACTGCAAAGCCTACTAAGCCTGCCATGCTCCCCTATAACCTTACCTCCCTCAGGCTTCATTTCTCTGTGTTGACCTGTGTCTTTTTGTTCCTTTCATGAAGTATGGAACATTGGTTTCTGTCACTCTCTGAAACTCTGATGCTTACAAGTACATTGTCCCGTCTGTCTACATGTCATTCATTTTTATGTCTCTTGGTTACTTTAATAGTATCTCTCCTTTTCCCCAGTTACTCTCTCATTGCCTGATCAAAATACAAAAGTGAAGGACAGGCCCAGTGGCTCACACCTGTAATCCCAGCACTTTGGGAGGCCAAGGTGGACAGATCACCTAAGGTCAGAAATTCAAGACCAGCCTGGCCAACATGATGAAACCCCATCTCTACAAAAAATACAAAAATTAGCCAGGCATGATGGCAGGTACCTGTAGTCCCAGCTACTCGGGAGCCTGAGGCAGGAGAATCACTTGAACCCAGGAGGCGGAGGTTGCAGTGAGCCAAGATCACACCACTGCACTCCAGCCTAGCAACAGAGCAAGACTCCATCTCAAAAAAAAAAGAAAACACGGCTGGGCACAGTGGATCACGTCTGTAATCCCAGCACTTTGGGAGGCCAAGGCAGGTGGATCACCTGAGGTCAGGAGTTCGAGACCATCCTGGCCAACATGGTGAAATCTCGTCATAAAAAGCAAAATACAGCAAACTAAGTTGCTCATAACTATGCTGCAAATGGATCATGTAACAAATGAAAACAAATGGAGGTGTAACAAATGAGAAATCAACACCTGGGAAAAGGGAAAGAAATCTGAGGACCTATTACATATAAAATAGTAGGCACAATTCATTTAATTTCACAAAACACTAACCTGCATTTTTTTTTTTTTTCCTTTTCGAGATAGGGTCTCACTCTATCCTCTAGACTGGAGTGCAATGGTGTGACCTCCAGGGCTCAAGTGATCCTCTCACCTCAGCCTCCCAAAGTACTGGGGTTATATGTGTAAGCTACCACCCCCAGCCCAAACCAGCCAGAATTTTTTAAAAGTGGAATTTTTAATTCTACTTTTTTGTTGTTGTTGCTGAGACAGAGTCTCACTCTGTCACCCAGGCTAGAGTGCAATAGCGCAGTCTTGGCTCACTGCAATCTCCACCTCCTGGGTTCAAGTGATTCTCCTGCCTCATCCTCCTGAGTAGCTGGGATTACAAATCCATGCCACCACACCCAGCTAATTTTTATATATATATTTTTTTGTTTGTTTGTTTGTTTTTTTGTTTTTTTGAGACGGAGTTTCACTCTCATTACCCAGGCTGGAGTGCAATGGCACGATCTCGGCTCACCGCAACCTCCGCTTCCTGGGTTCAGGCAATTCTTCTGCCTCAGCCTCCCGAGCAGCTGGGACTACAGGCACGCGCCACCATGCCCGGCTAATTTTTTGTATTTTTAGTAGAGACGGGGTTTCACCATGTTGACCGGGATGGTCTCGATCTCTTGACCTCATGATCCACCCGCCTCGGCCTCCCAAAGTGCTGGGATTACAGGCGTGAGCCACCGCGCCCGGCCAATTTTTATATTTTTAGTAGAGACTGGGTTTTGCCATGTTGGCCAGGCTGGTCTCAAACTCCCAACCTCAGATGATCCACCTGCCTCAGCCTCCCAAAGTGCTGGGATTACAGGCTTGAGCCATGGCACCCAGCCTTTAACTCCACTTTTAAGAAGCATTGCTAAGATTACATAAGGAATAAATGACAGACTGAATTTGAAAACAAGTGAGTATGATTCTAAACCCCATGCTTTTTCCAGAATTTCACAAGTTGAAAATAAAATCTATACTGGAGTACTTAGCAACAATTGTTAAACACAAACACAAACAGTTTTATCTTTGAGACAGAGTGTCACTCTTGTTGCCCAAGCTGGAGTGCAATGGTGCAATCTTGGCTCACTGCAACCTCCACCTCCCAGGTTCAAGTGATTTTCCTGCCTCACCCTCCCAAGTAGCTAGGATTACAAGTGTACACCACCATGCCAAGCTAATTTTTTTGTATTTTTAGTAGAAACAGGGTTTCACCATGTTAGCCAGGCTGGTCTCGAACTCATGACCTCAGATTATCTGCCTGCCTCGGCCTCCCAGAGTGCTGGGATTACAGGCGTGAGCCACCGTGCCCCGCCAACAGTGTGTTTTTAAATTACCTGGTTTGGTGACACATCTGTGGAAGGCAATGATACAAACGTCTTCTCTAAAGTTTCAGGCAAAGAGTGGTATGTATCCTTTTCCTCTAGTTTCCAGTAAGTCAATCCTGACGTGCACAAACACAGAATAGAAAAGAGTGAGGAAAAAACAAAAATGCTTTATAGAATAACTTATTTCTACCTAAAGGAAATTAAATATGGAAAGAAACTAATTCTGGGTTACAGTAATTTGAATTTTGATGAAAAAGTTATCCAAACTCCTTATTATGTAAGTGTCCTAACTGGATGCAAATGTTTAAAACTGAAATATAAAAAGTCGAGATGAGTTGGTACAATTTAAAACATGTATTTTTGGCAGGGCATGGTGGTTCACCCCTGTAATCCCAGCAGTTTGGGAGGCTGAAGCAGGCGGCTTACCTAACATCAGGAGTTTGAGACTAGCCTGGCCAACATGGTGAAACCCTGTCCATACTAAAAATCTAAAAATTGGCCAGGCGCGATGGCTCACACCTATAATCCCAGCACTTTGGGAGGCTGAGGTGGGCAGATTACAAGGTCAGGAGTTTGAGACCAGCCTGACCAACAGGATGAAACCCAGTCTCTACTAAAAATTTAAAATTAGGCTGGGCGCGGTGGCTCAAGCCTGTAATCCCAGCACTTTGGGAGGCCGAGGCGGGTGGATCACGAGGTCAAGAGATCGAGACCATCCTGGTCAACATGGTGAAACC